GGAGGAGGAGGAGGAGGAGGAGGAGGAGGGGGAGGAGGAGGGGGAGGAGGAGGAGGAGGAGGAGGAGGAGGAGGAGGAGGAGGAGGAGGAGGAGGACTGCCTCATCCTCCCTTCTTCCCACGGTGAAGGGTAAATTTGCCTATCATCCCTTGCTCTGTCTCCCGCGCAAGCAAGGGGAACAACTTTGGGTGACCAGTCTCCTCAGCAAGCATCGAACCGCAACGAAGACCATACACATCACGGGCAGGGGGAACTCACACGACTCCTCCGCATCGTAGGCTTCCGCGGCGATCATTCCTCTCCCCCCTCTGACTTCTTCCTCCCTCCCCCACCACTGTCAACCATGCTCTCTCCCCCACGTCCCTCATCCCCCCTCCCTCGCTCCCTCTGCTCCCTCATTCCCTCTCCCTCTCTCCCTCCGTTACTCCTCCCCTCTCCCTCTCTCTATCTCCCCGTCGCTCTCCGTCCCTCCTCCCTTCCCTCCTCCCTCGCCCTCCTCCGTCCCCCCTGCCAGCGGCCGTGCCCCTTCCTTACATTTGTTGCTCCGCGAACTCACCATTTCCATTCCCGATCTATCTCCTCCATTCCTCATGGCCCGAGCCCTCCTCATCCTCCTCCTTTCCCGCGGGTGCCTCCCAAGGTCTCCGACCAAGCCACCCCGCCGCCCCCGCGGGAGGAATGTAGAAGAGCGTGTTGTGCGCCGCAGTGCGCGAACCTCGGCAAGGGGGAGGTATTGTCGTCGTCGTCGGTCGTCGGTCAGTCGGTCGGTCGGTCGATGGTCGTCGTCTGCATCGACGTCGGCGTCGTGTCATCGTCGGCGTTGGACGTAGTCGTCGTCGACGTCGATGACGGAAGTCTCTGCTGCCGGCTACACGCAAAAGAAAGCCTACGGGCAAGGGTGGCTTCTGGTGCGCGGCTTTACTTGGGAGTCCGCGCGGAGGGGGGGCGTGGAGGGGGTGGGGAGGGGGAGGGGGGGGGAGGGGGGCAAAAACCCAAACGCGCAAAAAGGAAGTCCAAGCCCACACCAAAGATCACTCCGGCGAAGGGCTACTCTTACGCGCCTCCCTCGTCGCCGACGCTGCAAACCCGCCTCGAAATGGTCTGGGAGCAAATCTATGTGGCGGATGGGGGAGGAGAAGGGGGGGCAGCGCGAAGATCAGGTGCGCCAGAGAGGGGGGGGTGGACATTCTGGCCCGAGGCCTGTGCGCGGGCGAAGAGAGAATAGGGGCCCCGACGCTGGTGATTTGTCGTGGCCGTGGCCATAATATGCACGCACCGTCCTCAACCCCTAATTTTAGGAATGAAAAAAACGCCCCTACTCTGGGTGACAAATCCGTGGTCAATAAACCTCCTGGGAACTCCCACCGGCCAGAGAGCCGCCAGGACGCCGCGCGGCACGCGCGATACGCAGGGTTTACCCTGTCAGCCCACAAGAGGTTCAGCGCACAGCGCCTCATAAACAAGGGCAGGGGCGTTTTTTTTACGCCCTTGACAAATGGAGAGCTTGAACGCCCCGAGGAGAGGAGAGCCTGGTGCCGAGGGCCGTGCAGAGCTGGAACTGGGAGGCCGATCGGAGCTTTCAAGGGTCGGCAGCCGAAGGTCGTAGATCCAACTCAGTATCAGTGACATGCGGCCATGGGAAACCTATCAGCGCGTCACTGTTGAGGAAGCAGCATGTGTTCGGACCAGGTCGAAGAAGTAGCACGCGCACGGGGTATCCATAGCGACGTCTCCTTGATACTCGTGTTGCCTCCCGACTTTCGTCTCATCTGCGCTCAGCCTCACCAGCAGGATCTATCACCACCGAATCGGGAAGCCAGATCGAATCGGAAGCGCGTCGAACCGAGCTGCGTGGGCACGGAGTCAAGATCGAAACAAATCGGCAGCGCCAGGATGCACAGCAAAGCCATGCGAGCACAAAACCACATCGAATCGACGGAATGAAACAACCGAAAACCGAATCGGAGCGGACCGGCCAACATTGATACCGAAGCAGATCGTGGAATCGGGTTGGGCCCTGCGTCCGTTCCAACTACGTGGCCGTTCTGCGGGCAGGTTGGGAGGTTCTGAACTATACACTTATATAACTATATACGTATGTTTGAGTATACATACATACGCTGCGAGAGACTACGAGGGCTCACGTCCCGTCAGCAGCACCATAATGATGTTCTACGATCGAGGAGGGCGAAGAAAGAGGGAGGCGACGACGCAGGAGCAAACATTGTCGCCCATGAACCAAGCCCTAAGACAGTGCTCAAAGCAAGCTCTGTCCAAAAAGCCACGCAAGAACCGGGGTCACTCGATTCGCCTGCGCACATTTTCGTTGCACCAAGGCCGCTCTGATTGGCTGAGAAGGTTCTATATCCCTCGCCCTTTCCTCGTGCTCGAGGGGTCTCCGGACGAGAAGTGAGGAGGTTGGAGTCGAGGGAGGACTGAAGGACTGGAACAGGCAAGCTAAGCTCCCGCGGGGCTGGCAGGCGGCCAGCGGCTGCTAGCTCAGCTCATCGTCTACTCTCTCTGAAAGCTGTCGGTGGCTCATTCGGGGCTCTACGTGTGTTCGGCTGCGGTGTCCGTGGCCTCCCGCGGGTCTGCACCCTCGGGACTGCTTCACCAACCAGCTCCAACTCTATTTCAAGGTCGAATGCCCCAGGCTCTTCAGCTCGCGCGGGGGTGGACCGCGCGGCGCCGAGCCCAGCTTCCTCTGGGGTCCCTCCTTCCGGAGCCCCGTGATCAGGATGTCGCGACTCAGCTTCATGCTGTTTCTCTTTCTTGTTCGGCGCCTTGTTCTTCTTCGCCTGGAAGTGCGTGATGCAGCTCCCCAGGAACTCTGGGCCCTCCTGGCGCACTACCGTCGTCCAGAACTCCGTGGGCACCTTCTCGGAGTCCTCGGTCACGAGCGTCGAGATGCCTTTGATCGCGGCCGCCGCGATGACCAGGTGTGGTGGTCTGAGCGAACCTGTGTCGACCTGGCTGTCGACCGCGTGTTTCTTTTTGAGCTCCTTAGCGTCCGCGTCGTATTTCTGGCCCGCCTGGACCGCAAACTCCGCCATCGGTTTGCTGGCCTCCAGCTCCCACGCCTCGTACACTGCCGCCTGCCGATTTTGCGCGTCTGTGGCGACTATCATGGTCAGCTTGGCTGTGGCGATCGCGACCTGCTCCACTCGATCTGCATCTCTGCCTTTGCCTTTGCCAACGCCCTTGCCTTAAGTCGGACCTGTCCCCCTAATTACAGGGGCATTGTCGACGAAAAATCAAAAATACCCCCAAAATGATCCAAAAACAATCCCAAAATAGTCTGGGGACTATTTTTTGAGCATCTTTTTGTCATTGTGGGGAATTTCTTGGTATTGTTTCTTTTTCGTCGAAAATCCACCTGTAGGGGGACACGCCCGACTTAATCCTTGCCCTTGTGCTGCTTTTTGGGATCGGCGTCCGCCTGCGCCAGCGCGAGCCCGCCAGCCCACGTCGGCCCCTCGGCGAACGGGTCCGCCACCTGCGTGGAGGCCCGGGCCTCGCCCAATCCCCGCCGCCGCTGCCGCCACCTGCAGGTCTGCTGGGCGCTGCGTCGACGCCTGCTCTGAAGGATCCAACTCCTTGCCATCGCTCGGACGTCCATTCCCTGTGCAATCTTCGATGTCGTGCGTGTTTTTTTTGCTCGATGGTCCAGGATGGTCCTCGATGGTTCTCGCCGAGAAAAAATGCACACGTCCGCGAGATGCCAAGTCCAACTCCTGATCTGGGCGCTGGTGTCCGTGGCTGCAAAACGGCTCTGGGAAGATGGCCACGGATGTGCTGGAAGAACCGTGATCCGTCTGTGCCGGCATAGCCACACATCGCACAGAAAGAGTCATGTTCTTCAGCTGGCAGGAGGAGGAGGGAGTGAAGGGAAAGGAGGAGGAGGAGGAGGAGGAGGAGGAGGAGGAGGGAGGAGGCGGAGGACGGGTTGCCTAAGCCCTTCGGAGAAGCCCTCCTCCCCGCCCCTGCTCGGCGAAAAGCCTCGCTCGTCCACCGGCGTGACCTGCACGCCCAGCCGGCCTGGCTCGCGGAGCGAGGCCGACGATCGACAATGACGAGAACGACGATCGACGACGACGAGGACATCGATCGACGACGACGACGAGGCTGAGGACGACGACGACGATCGACGACGACGACGATGACGACGACGACGAGGTCGACGATCCACGACGACGACGACAACGAGGACGACGACGACGACGACGACGACGACGATGGACTTTCACGACGGACGACGACGACGACGACGACGGCGACGACGAAGACGTCGTCACATTCAATGAAAAGCGAAAAGCCCAACCTCATGGCAATCACCGATACAAGCAAAGTCCCCCAATGAACTCCAGAAGGAACGGAACAAGGCAGGGATGTTCGCGCCCAAGACCGACAAGCAACCGCCACCTCTGAGGATCGGGGTGGTTATTCCTCTACTGACTGCGATTATTCCTAAATTGATGTGACTTCGCAGCACGCTGGACGGATGCCCCCGAGACTTCCAGCGCGAACACCCCTCCCGGCAACATCCGCAAGCCAAACCGCGAGGGTGGCCGCTTGAGGCCGCCGCCTGGAACGCACCGGCGACGCCAAGGATGGACAACATCGGGATCTCGGATCGCGACCGCATTGCCACTGCCGGGGCGACACGAGGAAGAGAAAGCACAGCGGGACGACACCACAACACAGTCTCTGCCGCTGGGAGAGCTGTGGGAGAGCACGACCAAAACGACGACGACGACGACGACGCCCGCGAGCAGGCCTGGAGCCCACCTTGAAGGGCCCCCCCAGGGCAAGTCTCAGTTCATCGTCATCCTGCAGTACAGTGGGGGCGTTGACCTAAGGACCCCTATGTAAGGAACGAGGCCCCTTGTTCCCATAAGTGAAGTTTTGATTTCCCATGGAAAACGACAGGAAAACGCAGGGCAAACTGTACAACAAGGAAGGAACACACCGAGCCCCTCCCCAACGAAGAGGGTTTCTCCTTCAGCGCCCCGACGGTACTGAGGAGGGCCCACGAGGGGAGACCGGCTCAGGGGCTGGAATCGGCAACACCGCCGACAGATCGGCGTCAGGCCCCCGATACAAAATCGGTGCGCTCCTGGCTGGGCTGGGCTGTGCACCACCCCGTCCGGCAACGAAGCGACGATCGGGGGTCGACGCAGCCACCCTCCCCCCATCCGACCCAGAGTTGCCCCCGAACCATTCCGACCCCATCTGCTCTTGCCCGACTTGGGGAGTGCTGGGCTCCCTGTAGAGTCGCGTGCGCCACGACAACGGACACGCCAACAGCCGTTTGATTGGATTTCAAATGCGCATCTTATGCTTCTGCTTAAGACGTGTTTCGAACATGTGCCTGCGCGTTTTGGACGTGTGCTGACCGTATGTCTTAGACATATGGGAAATATTTGACAACACGCCTCCTCTCCATTGATCGTTTTCCAAAAGCTGACTTCTTGGATTGGCGCTGGACCCCCCCTTTCCTGGCGCGCGGAGCGCGCCATGGGGCGGCGCCAGACCCGAGCGTGGACCCGAGCAACCAGCGCGGGGCGCGGTGAGAAGCTGCAGTCGACCCGCATCACGACTCCTCCTCCTCCTCCTCCTCCTTCTCCTCCTCTTCCCCCCCCCTCCTCCCCTTCCTCCTCCTCATCCTCCTCCGAGGATGCGCAGTCAACCTGCGAGGGCCTTGGAAGGCCGTTCCCAAGCTTTTCGAGCGGTGCGCGGACGACGAGTGCGGCCAGAAGGACCAGGGGTGCATCGGAGGAGGCGAGGATGCGAGGATCGGAGGATGCGCGGGCAACGAACGTGGCCACGAACGGTGGATGGCCAAGGATGGACCGGAGGGGGCAAGGACGCAAGGGTACCCTCAGGAACGCTGCCCAGCCTGACTGTGCGGGTTGACTGTGCGGTCAAGACACGGGGCTCCCGTTTCCGGGCCGGTCCTCGCATATCTGGGCCAGGGGAGCCCCCTTCGTGGCCGAGACTCGCCGTGGCCAGAAAGGCCCCTTCGTTTATGTTGCCCCCATCGTACTTAAGGCCGACATCCCAAAAATAAGTTCGAGCGCCGAGAAAAGTGTCGAAACAGTGTCGAACGAGTATCGCCTCCCAGGGCCCGACACGCGAACGCACCTCTATTTCGGTACTTTCCTGGTGCTCGAAATTCTTTCTAGTGAGCAAGCCCTTCGGTCATTGGCTGGCGTTGACTGATTTTGTTGTTTTCTTTCCCGGATGACGGACTCTACCCTGGTGGGGTCTCGGGCGGGAGGGTAACGGTAACGGCGGCCGCGGCGCGCACCCACCAGGGTGCGTCGGCGCCATTGGCGCATCAATCGCCCGTGTGCACCACAGCCTGTGTACACGACAATGCCCAGTGACTGCGTGCAACACAGCACTACCTGTGTACACCAGTGCCTCTGTGCAACCACAACAGCCGCGTGCACCGCAGCACCACGTCGCCTATGTACACCGCAGTGCCTGTGACTACTGCGACAAACGCCGAAGACGACGACTGAGGCGGCAGCGGCCGTGGCGGCCAGCGGCGGCGGCGACTCCCCAGAGACAACAGCGGCCCTCCCGCCAAGCCGGAAACCGCTCGACATCGGTCCCCGACCCGCTGCCCCCCGAACGGTTAGGGCACCTCAGCAGTGAGCCCCCCTGACCCAGGCGCACCACAAGAGCCTGCAAGCGCCACATCACCCGTGTGGGGACCGAGGCATGCCTTTCAGAACCACTCCGTGCCTCTGAGCCCAGCGCCGCGACAGACGTGGAAACCGCGAGCGCCACAGGACGTCTGTGGGCACCCACACATGCCGTTCCGCACCGCGCCATGCCCGCGAGCACAGCGCAGCGCCTGCGGGGGGCCCGCCCCCCAGCACGCAAGGGGTGCCCAGACCGCCCCCCCCCAATACGATCACTGGAATTACCCGGGGGCGGGGGGCTTTGGCCTGGGTGCTCGCCATCGCTCGGACGTCCATTCCCTGTGTTTTTTTTCCGGTTTCGTGCGTGGCTTTTTCGCCAAATGGTCAAGGATGCTCCTCGATGATCCTCGCCGAGGAAAAAACGCACACGTCCGAGCGATGCCAAAGGTAACGGGCGTTGCTCCATGGGGATGGGGAAACCAAGCAAAAACCGATGCCGCTACTTCGCGGGCCTTTCCAGGGGTGCGTTCTGACCAGATTCGCGAGGCGAGCCCGGTGGTGGCGGCGAGGGCCTGCCGGCCCCCCGGGAGACCCGGAAAGGAGAAAACGAGGGGAGGGCACAGGGCAGTTTTTAAGACACTGGATATTTTAAGCTATACGATTTCAATACATGATCAAATTAAGATTGAATGTATGCATGAACTCATCGTTGTTGCTAGTACAAAAAAACCTGCATGGTTATGCGCACGCGGAACTAAAAAACGGAACTGTAGCCGCATGGGTATTTTTTCCCCCTCTGGTGGGGAGTAAATAGAAACGCCCACCGCGTCCTGTGGTAGCACGGCGGCTGCATGCTCCTGCCGTCCTTCGGTCTTCGAGCTGTGTGTGTATATATATATATATATATATTCCCTCCAGCGTTTGCGGGGGGCCAAAAGGACTTCTTAGCATCGATCGAAGAAGGCTAAAGGAATGGGGCGGCGGACCACAGAGCGAGAGCCCTCAGGAAAAAGCACGAGGCGATGCAATCAATCACTTTTCGCACGAGCGGCTGACCCACCCCAGCCGATGAACTTCAAAGTCGCAATCTCATTGCAGCTCACCTGAACCTGTAGCAATCGAACGGGGCCCCGAAACTTGCACTCAGCTGGCGCAGGGGACGGAAGGTGGGGCCAACAGGACTACGGCGCCAGCATTACCCATGTTGTTCCCCTCCCCCTTTGGGTGGAGGGAAAAAGGGAAACAAAGTGACTGGGCATTCCCTCCAGCGTTTGCGGGGGAGGCCAGAAGGACTTCTTAGCATCGATCGAAGAAGGCTACAGGAATGGGGTGGCGGAGCGGAGAGCGAGAGCCCTCAGGGAAAAAACGCGAGGCGATGCAACCAAACACTTTTCGCACGAGCGGCTGACCCACCCCAGCCGATGAACTTCAAAGTCGCAATCTCATTGCAGCTCACAAAAACCTGTAGCAATCGAACGGGGCCCCGGAACCTGCGCAACTCCAGAGGCCCAAGTTGAAAGCCAACGCGCAACAACTGTCATCCACAATACCTCTGGCACTGGTAACTGACGGGCTGGGTGGGATGGGTCAGGCGCGCCTTGCTTCTGTAATAAACGAGGGGAGCTCTGTCTTCAGCAGCTGCAAGTTAGCGGCCGAAGCGTTTCTGACTGCCTGTGGTAGTCCGTGGAGAATACGAAGGTAACGACCATGTCTACTATACCTCAAGACACTTTTGATAACTGCCCACTGTCAACGACTTTGAATCTCTTGAAGAGGAAAGCCGGCCAATGAGTCCATACTCGGACCCCCATGGCGCAGCATATGAGGAACAAGCTTTTGAGAAGACATGTCAAGCTGCGGCGCGGCCTGCTCGAACCACTTGCGAAGTTGCGCGGGCCCGAAAGGGGGCGCCTTGTCCCCGGGCGCCAAGCCGAGCAGCAGCGGGCACAGCAATGAGCTCAGCCATGATCTGTCAGTGCGAGACTCGCCAACCGCGATCGTATCGTCCTGGGTGCGGGTCTTACTCATGGCGCCGTCGGGTTCCGGGAAGAACACGAGCGCCCACTTGGGGCTTGCCATGCCCCGCACTGGCCGCACCGCGCCCCGCGCCTTTAGGCTGCACATGCCGCCGATCCTGGCGTGCGAGTCGAACGACAGGAGGACCGCCGCCGCTGCCAACGGCCCCATCGGCCC